CCAGCCCGACAATGTTACATCTGTAAATTTACGGAAGCAAATTTTTTTGTTCTTCCCTGGCCGGGATTCGAACTCATGCTACTGAGATATCGTGGCATCAAATCGCTTTGCACTATGCCCGACGCGCTAGACCACTCGACCACCTAAGCTCGACAAAAATCAAGCTTTCGGTGGCCGGGTGATACCTTTCCTCGTCAGTTTTTATCTAGCGTCGTAACACAGTACATGATATATAAGGCATGAAGATGGAATATTACAGATCAGCTGAATTATCTATCGTAGAGGATCTTACAACTTAATGTAGGATGCAGTCACATAAATTATTATATTATAAGTACGTCTGAACCAGTGACAGCTCTACGACAGATTTTATTCATTGGATCACCAGTGATGGTGATACAAGGCTGAACACACATTCTGTATACATAATTCGTCTAAATAACAGCCCAACAATGTTAGGTCTTTAAATTTGCGGAAGCAAATTTTTTTGTTCTTCCTTGGCCGGGATTCGAACTCATGCTACTAAGATATCGTGGCACCAAATCGCCTTGCACTATGCCCGACGAACTAGACTACTCGACCACCTAGGCTCGACAAAAATCAAGCTTTCGGTAGCCGGGTGTTAACTTTCCTCGTCAGTTTTTATCTAGCGTCGTAACACAGTACATGATATATAAGGCATGAAGATGGAATATTACAGATCAGCTAAATTATCTATCGTAGAGGATCATACAAATTAATGGTCTCGGGTGCCATGCCATGAGTTCATCATAGATCATAGGTGTGCGGTACAGGTGACTTAATTTTCGCAATTTTAGGTCTCGTACGAAGTTGTTATCTGCCAAGTGTCACGCCACATGGGTGATTGATAAGAGAATCTGGATTGGGTGAAGGGGGAGGGGGGGTCCTTCTATTCTCTATATTTTAATTTTTTAGGCTATTTTTCTCTATTATTTATACTTTTTGCCAATTATTCTCAATTCTTTATTTTTCACTGATTTTGTGAACTACAGTAACATCCTTGGTGCAGTGTTTGTCGAGGGCACAGGGGCGGTAGGAGTAACTTATTGTTACAGTAATACAGGTATGACTACCTTAAGTTTAAAGAATACAATTAGTACTGCCATACAACTTCTTATGCACCACCGATTAAATATCCCAACCAGTTCTAATACGCAATTGCTCGTAAGAATATGCAGATATAAAAAGGCATATTGCAGTATACATTCTTTTAAATTGACTATCAAATATTTATTGTTGACATATTTTAAAATTGAAAATCCATACATGAAATTTACTTACTTTTAGACTGTTGGACTATCAAAAAAGCTTAGTGTTTGTCACTCTCATTAATTTTCCCCCTCCCTTCCTTCATTCCCCCCTACACACATAGTATTGTTATAAAGAGCATAACAAAGTAAAGTAGAAAATGGATACTAGAATGTGAATGATAGAGCTTTTACATTCTTATATTGAACATCAAATAGTTGGTAAAGAATCAGAAGATGAAAACCATTTCTTGTTAAAATGGAAACTTAATATTACTAAAAATGAAGAAAGTGTCGTTTGAACTAATTACTTTGTTTAAACCTACGTCCTTCAACAATGAGAAAACTGTATACCGTACATTCGGCTATGAAAGGCCTCAACATGAAAATCGGGTACCCAAGGTCGTTAAACCCTCCTCCCCCTTGTCAATGTGAAACAATTCAAACGAGAAAACTAACGACCTAATTCATAACAAAATAATTTCGTAAGAACAAATACGACAGACATCAACCACGACACCCACTAAACTACAGGCTCCTGACTTGGGACAGGCACAAACAGAATGCGGGGTAAAACATGTGTGTGAGCGCCCCCCTTAACGTAGGACAGAACAACAAAAGAACAAACTGTAAAAGACAGTTACAACTGGCTAAACACAAAAGATCGGTACGAAGTAAAAAAAAACTTTAACATAAAAGCAATAGACACAAAGCACCGAAATAAGAATATTCTCAGTCACTAAAAGCTAGTTCAAAGCCAATTACAACTAATACATAACTCATGTTCTCCCAGACATAATTATGTTACATGTATACATTTTCATGTTCAGCCTCGATTGAAAATTCAACATTTTTTTAAATGACCCCTATATGAAGAAATGTTTTTGGCAAACATTAAAAAGAAATTTATGTGTTGAGAATATTTGCCTGGTAGCAATAAACAAATTAAATGCTAGATAATATTTGGGAGAGAGGGGTGGAAATATGTGAATTTAAATTTACCTTCCTAAAATTTGAACTTATATTTATAAGGGTGTGGATGGAATTGCATACTTTAGAAAAGGTAGTTTTACTATATACTTATTTCAACATAAGACATTTTTCTTCAAAATGTATGGTTTTAAAAGGTATATGAAATTAAACGTGACTAAATCACACTAAATTTGCTCTTAATTATGCAATAGGTGTTAAAATTTAATTACTAAAACAACAGCCTCTAATAAGTGTTGACATAACAAGGGGAAAAGGTAATAAAATTGTTATTTGAAGACTCCTCAAAACAATACAAATATGTCCTCCCTTTTCAACTGTGAGACAAAAATCTTCCAAATGCAGAAAATAGAAAGTCTGATATGGATAAGTGTGATGTATGGTTTTTAACCAAAACAATATATGCATAAATTTGATGATAATTCATTCCTATTGAAAGTTCCTCCGTGACCAAAAAACTTCAGGCTCTAAAGAGCCTGTGTAGCCCATCTTGGTCCATGTGCATATTTAAAAAAGGACACTCTCCAACATAGACGAGAATAGAATTCATGACAAAAACCTCTGTATTGTTGCTTTTGTATTACTAATCTTTTCGTCTGTTTAGTTTCTCTATATCTTCTCTAGTTTTTGCTCAAAACACAAAAGAGGTAAACAATATCCTCATTTAAGGATAATCACTCCTTTAAAGAGTAACAGTCTACTAACTATATCGGCTAAATTTGACTTGTTAGTTGATCTTGTCTAGGCGATCATTTTTGTGATTTAAAGTTTTTGTTTATCTATAATAATCTTTATCATATAAGGCAAAACGTAAGAAAAATGGTAAAAATCGTCATTAAAGGGCAATAACTCCAATAAGGAGACGTTGGACGATTTCCTCCAAAACCGTCTTAATTGTAGATCTTGTTTTGCTGATCATTTTTGCTTATTCAAGTTTCTATCTATCTATTATAAATTTTAAGATATAAAAGGCAAAATCGCAAAAAAATGGTAAAAATCGTCATCAAAGGGCAATACCTCTAATAAGGAGTAGGCTGACGATTTTGGTTATGAAACTTATTTGTAGAACTTGTCTTGCTGATTATATTTACAATTTAAAGTTTCTCTCTATCTATCAAAGTCTTCAAAATAATAGACAAAAACAAACAAAAATGGTACAATTTTTCATTTAAGGGCAATAACTCCTATAAGAAGTTGTCTGACAGTTTTGACTTAAAGAAACAATTGGTAGAGCTCAACATTCTGAACATTTTTGCCCTCTCAGATTTCTCTATTTATAACTGTTTTCAAAATAATAGACAAAACTTGTATTTTACTACTATGTTCTGTTTTTTGCCATTTCGGCAATATTGGTTGGTCATCGGACAATCTTTATAAACTATATACCCTAATGATGATTGTGGCTAAGTTTGGTTAAATTTGGCCCAGTGGTATCAGAGGAGAAGATTTTTGTACAAGTAAACGACGACGGACGATGACGACGGACGACGGACGGACGCCAAGTGATGAAAAAGCTCACTTGTACCTTCGGGCAAGCTGAGCTAAACAATAAGTAAAATTAAAAACGTACCCTTTGCGAACGCCTATCTTGACTTATAATATCGGGTTTTTTTCTTCTTCTAGTTCGTTACCGTAAAAGATAAAGAAAAAAAAAAGAAAAAAAAAAGAAAAATTTGATCATCAATAATTAGAAATTTAATAACCAATCATGAGTAAAAGGAGTTTTATTTAAAAAAAAAAGAAAAAAAAAAGAAAAGAGTTCTGTAAATCTACTGTTTATAAAATGTAATAGTATTCTAAAGAGGGTTCATCATGAAAGTACAATTACGTTAATACAGTCTTCATAGCTGTTGATATGCTGCACATCAAACTAAACATTTAAATGTAGCTGAAAGCAGACGAAAGTTACAACACACTTTGAAATTAAGTATGTGAACTCTATATGTTATCTCTTTCAACCCGAATGAATAGTTTAAACATATTTTATTGTTCAAAAATGACAAATGGATGAATAGACTAGTATAGTCAAAAATTGTAATGCCTGATCTTCTTTCGTCACAAAGTAAAACCCTCGCGCTGAAGTGGTCGTCAGTTCGGATGTTCTGGATGTATAAATACGCTGCCACGTCCGCTCGGAATGGATACGTTACATTGGATGCCCCTGCATGCAAATTCCACACTCTTTGCACGTTAAATAAGCCTTGTAATATCGCCAGTATGGGTCTGTTGATGGCCTATTGCAAGGCAAAATTTCTGCCTTATCCAACATGCTAACTTTTAAAAGAGGCATTTATACTTGCCGACCTAACAATATGATTCGACATATTTTTTTTTAGGCTGCATGAAATATTGCCACTGTATGTTCAACACGGAACATCAATCAATCATACAGTATTTCTTGCAACATACAACACGTTGACCAAACGTAACAAATTTGTTTCAATGAAAAAGCAGTGTCTTTATGATTTCAATTTTATAAACGTATGGTTGGTCCGAGGGTGTAACACACGATTACTGTTCTTTAAGTGGTTTAACGAGATGTTACATGGAAATATTCTTTTTTCATATCGTTATTCATACGTACTACCTTTATATTTTTACTAAACGCTCTTTCTCAACTAAGAAAAATGGTAAAAATATCTTTCATGTTAAACCACTGAAAGAACAGTAATCATGTGTTACATCCTCGGACCATCCACGCGTTTATATTAAACATTTCATCTTTACCAACGTGTTATTTACGAAATTTTCCTTCAACTGTTTGGTTGTGTGATCAGATTTCTCCAGTTGTGGTCGTTATTCTAATGTAAGTACAGTTATACATTTAAATATAGTATTGTTCTAAGTTACTAACTTTTATAGAATCATTCCCTTCTAATTTGTACAGACAACGATGCGTTTGAACTGTTTTGCTATCTTTAAGTATTCTGGCCATTGTTTCACAAGAATTCGTACGACAATCTTAGATCTAACGTCTGTCGTAAGTCAAACTGGAAGTTTATGACCGTTTCAAAAACAATCATAGGTAGAATTTTCTGATCTTAAACTGACGAGTGGTAACAGGTAGTCGTAAGTCAAATCGTAGACATATTTCGTTAAAACCAACAGCATTACATTATCTTACAGACATAATAAGTTCCATGTGATGAACAGAAGACATGTATCGATCATAACTAACTAAAATGTAAATTCCTGAAAAAATCGTAAATTAACTATTCCTACATTTGAGTTTATAATTTATATTAATTGAAATAAAACGAGTGCCTTGCTTCCAAATTTCCAAATCTTTCACTATGAAGACTTTTAATTTTTTAAACGTTTATTTACTATTTTTTAATCGTATGTCATATACAGCATTATACACCCTCATTGTGGCGTTCTACACGGTGGTTATGAAGTTGACAATAAATATATATGTCAAGCTAACATGCAAAAATCCCCTAGAATGCATGTCCTGCGGATATACACTACGGCGGAGACCGGTGCTCTTTATTTTATAGACGTCTTTTAAATACAAATTACGATTATTTGCGAACAAATACCAGTCCAGAAATTGCGAAAACAATAATGTATATACATGCATGTCACTAATGTAGTGGTAGAGTTGAATGTTATGGATCCGTAGTTTCAATGTAATTTCACCAGTTGCCATGCGCTCTTTCACGTTTGCGTTTTCTTTTGAGGTACAAATTGAATGCTTCAACCCCGTACTCAATACCTGCTTTGTTCTTTTTTAATTTAAAAATATTTCTATAATTCTAGGTTTATTTGAAAACTATATGTATGATACTTTACTCTGCCATTGTGTGATTGTGTGTTTGAATACTTAGAAACCTTTATTTTTAAATTTAAGAAATGTATCTGAAATTTTCAAATCCTAAATGTGTTTTCTTCAATTTAACATTTTTGTTAAGGTTGACGTTAAGTTTGTATTTTCAATCTTAGATCGTAGCTTTTTGGCCAATTATTATTTTTAAGCATTCCAGTGGAAAACATATTGATTTACTGCAGCAATTCATATAGAAAACGTAAGGAGAAAATATCTTTAAAAAAGAAGTAACAACCAAAGTACAACTGATAATTTACCAAGACAGCCCCTAATTTCTTAATATTCTTTCGTTATTGCTCGTGTATGTTTTCTGTTATCAAAACTGCTGTACTGAAATTATTTTTGGGGGAAGTTTTATTAAATTTTAGTAGAATGAAATGGAAAAGCACTGTTTTTTTGCTTTTTTTGTGTTTTTGTTTTGCAGAGGCGTAGCTTCCCTTGAGGCAATGAGGCAACTACCTCCCTAAATAGTTGACAAAAAACAAAATTTAGAAAGATAATATATACAATTTGCATTTGGTAGTAATAGATGCATGGTTATAAACATCCAATTTTACACAACAAAGTCGGTTCAAATATCATGTCAGCAAGGGACACATACCCAATAAATACAACTAAAACAAGCAGTTCTTTAAAATTGAAATTGAAATCATAAAGATACTGCTTTTTCATTGAAACAAATTTGTTACGTTTGGTCGACGTGGTGTATGTTGCAAGAAATACTGTATGATTGAATGATGTTCCGTGTTGAACATACATTGGCAATATTTCATGCAGACAAAAACACAATATGTCGAATCTCATAGGAAAGCCGGTAAGTATAAATGCCTCTTTTAAAAGTTAGCGTGTTGGATAAGGCAGAAATTGTGCCTTTGCAATATGCCACCAACAGACCCATAATGAAGATATTACAAAGCTTATTTAACGTGCAAAGAGTGTGGAATTTGCATGCAAGGACATCGGATGTAACATATCCGTTCCGAGCGGACGTGGCAGCGTATTTATACATCAAGAACATCCGAACTGACGACCACTTCAGCGCAAGGATTTTACCTCGTTACGAAAGAAGATCAGGCAGTACAATTTTTGACTATACTAGTCTATTCATTCGGGTTGAAAGAGATAAAATACAGAGTTCACATACTTAATTCCAAAGTGTGTTGTAACATTCGTCTGCTTTCAGTCACATTTAAATGTTTAATTGTATGTGCGTCACATCAACAGCTTTGAAGACTGTAATTACGTCAATGTACTTTCATGATGAACTCTTTCTGGAATACTATACATTTTATAAACAGTAGATTTACTCTTTTTTTTTCTTTTTCTTTTTTTTTTTTTTTTTTAATTATAACTAGTTTTGAATTTCTAATAATTGATGATCAAATTGTCCGTTTTTTTTTAAATTTTTATCTTTTACGGTAACATACTAGAAGAAGAAAAATACGATATTAAAAGTCAAAGTAGGCTTTCTTAAAGGGTACGTTTTCAATTAAACTTATTTTTTGGCTCACCTGGCCCCAACGGCCAAGTGAGCTTTTCTCATCACTTGGCGTCTGTCTTCCGTCGTCATCGTCCGTCGTCGTCCGTTGTCGTTAACTTTTACAAAAATCTTTTCATCTGAAAGTACTGGGCCAAATTTAACCAATCTTAGCTACAATCATCATTGGGGTATATAGTTTAAAAATTTGTCCGATGACCCCGCCTGCCAACCAAGATTGCCGACTTGGCTAAAAACAGAACATAGTGGTAAAATGCAATTTTTGTCTATTATTTTGAAAACCGTTATAAATAGAGAAAAAATGAGAGGGCAAAAACGTTCAGAATGTTGGGCTCTACCAAGTGTCTATATATGTCAAATTTGTCAGACAACTTCTTATAGGAGTTATTGCCCTTAAATGAAAAATTTTACCATTTTTGTTTGCTTATTATCTTGAAAACTTTGATAGATAGAGAGTAACTTTAAATTGTAAAAACAATTAGCAAGACAATTTCTACAAATATGTTTCATGGTCAAAATCGTCAGTCGACTCTTTATTAGAGTTATTGCCCTTTGATGACGATTTCTATCATTTTTTTGCGATTTTGCCTCATTTTTTAAAATTTATAAAAGATAGATAGAAACTTAAATAAGCAAAAATGAATAGCAAAACAAGATATACAATTAAGACAATTTGGAGGAAATTGTCAAACGTCTCCTTATTTGAGCTATTGCACTTTAATTACGATTTTTACCTTCTTATTTGTTTGCGTTTTGCCTTATATGATGAAGATTATGATAGATAAATAAACACTTTAAATCACAAATATAATCAGCTTGACAAGATCTACTAACAAGTCAAATTTAACCGATATAGTTAGTAGACTGTTATTCTTTATAGGAATGATTAACCTTAAATAAGGATTTTTTTTACCCTCTTTTGTGTTTTGAGCAAAAACTAAATAAGATAGAAAGAAACTAAACAGACTAAAAGATCTGTAATACAAGATCAACAAAACAGAGATTTTTGTCATGAATTATATTCTCGTCTATGTTGGAGAGTGTCCTTTGTTAAATATGCACATAGACCAAGGTGAGCGACACAGGATCGTTAGAGCCTCTAGTTTTCGTTACGATGGGACTTTTAATAGGTATGAATTATTATCAAATTTATGCATATATTGTTTATAGTTAGAAACCATACATCACACTTATCCATATCAGACTTTCTATTTTCTGCATTTGGAAGATTTTTTTTGTCTCACTGTTGAAAAAGCAGGACATATTTTTATTGTTTTGAGGAATCTTCAAATAACAATTTTATTACCTTTTCCCCTGTTATGATAACATTTATTGGAGGCTGTTGTTTTAGTAATTAAATTTTAACACCTATAGCATAATTAAGAGCACCTGTAGTGTGATTTAGTCACTGGTAATTTTATATACCTTTTAAAATCATCAATTTGAAGAAAAATGTCTTATGTTGAAATAATTATATAGTAATACTACATTTTCTATATGCAATTCCATCCACACCCTTATAAATATATGTTCAAATTATAGGAAGGTAAATTTAACTTCACATATTTCCACCCCTCTCTACCAAATATTATCTAGCATTTAATTTGTTTATTGCTACCAGGAAAATATTCACAACACCTGAATCTCTTTTTAATGTTTGCCAAAAACATTTCTTCATATAGGGGTCATTTAAAAAAATGTTGAATTTTCAATCGAGGCTGAGCATGAAAATGTATACATGTGGCTTCCTTCAGTTTTGGAGAACATGAGTTATCTATAAGTTGTAATTGGCTTTGAACCAGCTTAAAGTAAATGAGTGTACTCTTATTTCGGTGCTTTGTGTCTTTTGTTTTTATGTTAATGTTTTTTTTAGTTCGTACTGATCTTTTGAGTTAAGCCAATTGGAACTATTTTTTACAGTTTGTTCTTTTGTTGTGCTGTCCCACGTTAAGGGGAAAGGGGGGGGGGGGGGGGGGGGGGAGCGCCTACACACATGTTTTACCCCGCCACATTCTGTATGTGCCTGTCCCAAGTCAGAAGCCTGTAGTTCAGTGGGTGTCGTTGGTTCATGTCGGTCGTATTTAATCTTCGGAAAATATTTTTTTATGAATCAGGTCGTTAGTTTCTTCGTTTGAATTATTTCACATCGACGAAGGGGTGTGGCGGTGGGGTTTGGGAGGGGGGAAGGGGGGGGGGGGGGGGTCGGAGGTTAACGACCTTGGCTACCCATTTTTCATGTTGAGGCCTTTTATAGCCGAATATACGGTATAAAGTTTTCTCATTGTTGAAGGACATAGGGTTAAACAAACGAATTAGTTTAAACGACACTTTCTTCATTTTTATTGATATAAAGTTTCCAAAAAAAAAAAAAATGGTTTTCATCTTCTGATTCTTTACCAACTATTTGATGTTCAATTTAAAAATGTAAAAGCTCTATCATTCACATTCCCGATTAATTTTCTAGTTTACAGTCTAAAAGTAAGTAAATTTCATGTATGCATTTTTAATTTTTAAAAAAGTATCATTAAATTAATAGTCAATTTAAAAGAATGTATACTGAAATTAACCTTTTTATATCTGCATATTCTTACGAGCAATTGTGTATCAGTTATCAGAACTGGTTGGGATATTTAATCGGTGGTGCATAGTTTATTGTATGGCCGTACTAAAGAATAGAGAATAATTGGCAAACAGTATAAAAAGTAGAGAAAAACGGCCTACAAAATTAAAATATACAGAATTGAAAAAAGTAAAATCACAAAAAAAAAAACTCCAAGGCAAATTCAAAACGGAAAGTCCCTAATCAAATGGCAAAATCAAATGACAAAACACATCAAACGAATGGACAACAACTGTCATATACCTGACTTGGTACCGGCATTTTCAAATGTAGAAAATGGTGGATTGAACCTGGTTTTACAGCGCTAAACCTCTAACTTGTATGTCAGTCGCATAAAAATTCATTATATTTACAACGATGCGTGAACAAAACAGACATAATAGGTAACATTGTCAAAATATGGGTACAGCAGTCATTACTGTGTCACAATCTCAAAACAAACAAACATTTAACAAAGAAGCACAAAAAGAATCTTTTAAATTTAACAACCATATTCATTGCTTACTTATATATGTATTTTAAATCAACTCATAAAGGATTGAAAGTCCTGTGACTGCTTTCACATCTATTCTTAGTGTAGAGTCGCGTGTTTGACGCCAAAAAATGTAAACGTCACACAGGAGAAATATAAAATAATTTTGTCGTTCAAAGTATTTTCAAATTACAATTTCACATGGGGAATTGTGGTATACAGGGTCGAAAAATCAAAAGTTTTTGTTAGAACTAAATACAGAAAAAGACCGAGTTTTAAAATTATCCAGAAGGACTCTCTCCCCCCATCCAGACCCTCTTATCAATCACCAATGTGGCGTGACACCTGCAGCTTACAACTTCAAACGAGACCTGAAATTGCGAAAATTCAAATGTACTGTCCCGCACACCTATGACCTATGATTAACTCATGGCATGGCACCCGAGACCCCCAACTCTGGGTTCCTTGGGAAAGTGGGATGAACAAAGTGCAATTTGGGTGTTGGTAAAAAGCCCCATCTTCACGCCTTCCAAGTCTGCGGATCATTTGATAGGAAGGGAATATCGTGTCACTATTATTTATTGTTGAATCCATTGACATCACACAGAATCATAGTGTATCACTGTCATACGTTTTGTTGGATAATAATCAAAAACAAATTTGCGCTATTCCCTAATGCCAATATGAATGATCGGAACCCGTGACATAGCAGCCTCGTTGTGAGTGACTTCCGGGATGGAAATATGCATATTTAACACGTCGATAGATCGTTGCATTAAAATACATATTTTATCAAATATTTGACACTTATATTGCTATCGATGTATTTTTGTGGAAAATTAAGTATAAATAATCATTTTGAAACAAAAATTGAAAATCGTGTCATGTCTCCTTTAATAATTAATCATGTTAAGGGTATAATCATGACATCTGTTTAGGATATCCTCTATCAATTTAAAAACGAAATATTATATGAATGAATGGAGTAATATCGAAGGAGACAGGCGAAAGATACCAAAGGGACATTCAGCTTCAGAAATATGTGAACCATGTCCTATATCATTGAAAAGACTAAATACTTTTTAAAAAAAAGAAGATATCACAAATTGTATAAATCACTTCTTTTATCAATTGAACTTATCATTGCTATATAAGTAATAATATTTCGTGGCGCTCAGGCTTGCGTTTTCTATGTTGTATTTAAGATACTGCTGTTTGTGTTTTAGTCGTTTCATGTTTTTTTTTTTTGCCATGGCATTGTCAGTTTTTTTCGACAGATGAGTTTAAATATCCCTTTTGTATCTTTCGCATAACAGTAGAATACTGGAATACTATTTATATATATGTTGTAGAGTTGTCACTTGTTTATACGTACTTATCAAAAATAATTATTTCTGTGACTGTATCTTCGATCCTTTACGATAGGTATTTAGCTAATCTGCAATCAATTCCATCTTCATGCCTAATATATCATGTACTGTGTTACAACTCTAGATTCTACTGACGAGGAAAGGTTAAACTAGGCCACCGAAAGCTGAATTATTAGTTCAGTCTAGGTGGCCGAGTGGTCTAGAGCGCTGGACACAGTGCAAGCGGTGTTGTCTTGATATCCCAATAGCATGAGTTCGAATACAAGCGAGGAAAAACAAATATTTGCTTCCACAAATTTGCAGATTTAACATTGTTGTGCTGATATTTAGAATAATTATATATTTATAGTTATATATATATATAATAAGCAAGTTAAAAGGGTACAACATCACCAATAAAAAATAAAATCATGAACAAATATTTAATATTCCGGATAACTAATGTCAAATGGTTCTTATCTTGGCAGCTCTCACATATAAGACTTTCAGACTTGCAGTTCTCCGAAAGGCTAAGACAGGAGGTTTGGGAAAGATCTTGGACAATTTTGGATGTTTGGCAATAATCTGCCAATTGACACGGATCAAACGGGAGAGGTTAGTAAAGGCGGGATTGAACATAACAATCTAAAAAAAAAAAACCGAACCATTTCAACTTATACATATCACCTTAAAGGTTGCTGAAATTCAATGATGTAAAGATTCGAGGGGCGAAGAGATATGAATTATTAACATGAAATGTGGTACAGGAAATTTTTTTTATTGATCAGAAAGCAAGAAAGTTTTAATAAAAGTAAAAGTTTAAAGATGCTGCACGCTTAAAGCATACGTTGCTCGTTCAATAAATAATAATCAAAGAAAACAACATATGTCATCAATCATTTTTGGATATCGTATACAATGTTCCTAAAGATATTGACTTGAAACGATATCCGAGTAGCCATATCATTTTAAAAGCTATCGATTTTGCTAATGGTATGTTATTACACATTGTGATAAGTTTTTCATCTATTTTCTTAGAAACGAAAAATCTTGTAATCTGCAATTGTTTAATACAATTAAAAAGGTAATACAATAATACTTCATCAGGCAATTGTCTTTTTTTTTCTTAGATTTTAGATACACTCATTTCAAACATATCTTTATTTATCTAAGTGATGTTTGTTATTAAAGTTTGAATGTTTGGCCATTGTATTACTGACTTTTTATTTTCGATGGCTCATTGCTGTTTTCTCCGTATTTTGGTACACTTTTTAAAGCAGGTGTTTTACTAATTCAGTCTTCAATGGGTTATGTGTTTGTTTCAAACTCTTTATGCGTGTTATTAGTGAAAATACTTTTAAATATTATTACTCATATCGAACGTTCACAACCGAATGATATAATAAATGGTATAGTGAACAGAGCAATAGTAGGTAGATAATTCTATTGATAAAAAACTGTTTTCGGTATGAACTAAACAAACATTGAAAAATGAAACAACTATTAAAACTTAAAAGTAAAGCGAACCCCTTCAAAACAAAACTAGAGGCGATCTCAATACTTTTAATATTTTTCAACTTTTCAACAGTTACATGACACTTAAAATGCTAGTTTACCCACTCCCTCTTTGAATGTAGGAAAAACTACAGTTGTCTTAATAAGGCACGCTCGTGATTAAGCGCATTGGAAAGCAAAAACTATAAAACGCTTCAATGCATACCATCTGAAAGTGCTTGTTACATATTTCCTAAGCTTGAAATACACAGGCAAATTTTGCTCAGGTGAATTTCATATGAATCCCACATGACAATCACGTCAAAAATTTCACGTGAGATTCACCTCAAACGAGCTTATACATTGAAACTCACGTGAACATTGTTCACATGAATTTCACGTGAACTAAAAAAAAACAAATTTGTATTTTTCATGATTTTAATTGAATTTAAAATTCTAGATGTTATTTGAATAAAGTCATTTTTCAATTTCAAGTGAATTTCACGTAGAAAAAAATAATGTGATTTTCACAAGAAATTCACATGAGTTTCACATGAGAAACAAGTGAAACTTACATCAACTGATTTCCTGTGAGTTCCACGTATAAGCTCGTTTGAGGTGAAATTCACGTGAATTTCACGCGAAATTCACATGATTTTCACATGAATTTAAACGAAAGTGAAATTCATTCGTGTGAAATTTCCCTGTGAAAGCAATGACATAATTGATATCAAACAGATGCTAAAGATATCAAAGGGATATTCAAACTAATTTAAATGAATTACTTTTCAGCATTATGGCCAAGTTTTGTTGCTTGATTGTAATCATCCTCTGCACAGCTCGTTTGTCTAAGGGAGAACGTAAGTATACTTTATGTTTAATGGCATACAAATGGGTGCCCGTATAACTTGACCAGCATGTTTACTTAATGACTTGATAAGATATTATACTGCTTGGGTCACCTCCTTCATATTAAAAATCAGACATTGTCTTGACCTTCCTACTTTTTTTAAGCGTCACCGATGAGTCTTTTATAGACGTGCATCTGGCGACGAAAATTATAAACCTGGTATCTTTATTATTTGTTGACTGCTCTCTCTAATGATAATAACTTGTAGCGAAGGTCAAAACTGGTTCCACATGACTCTTAACTTTTTTATACAAATTTGTTTTTTGATGTGCATGACTGCTGTCAATCGATAAATTAGACTCTTAAAATGTCAAAATTAACAACAGTTGTAATCATCAGAGGTGAGAAGAAATTTGAAGTATAAAAAACCCACGACGAGTGCTGATATTCGAAAGACTCACAAGGGAAATACACATATTTGCGGCTAATTAACCAGTATTTCTAGATGGGGGAAATTGAAACTAATGAAATTGTTCTCCTCCAATTAAATCACAATCTCATTCAAGTAAAACAAAATGTATTTAATGTTTATTTCGATAAATATCATCAGAACAAATATCATTTGGACAAAGATGTATTCCTATACTGAAAAATTTGATCAAATTGGAAAAGATAAAGGTAACTGAAATAGTATGATATCGGTAACTGTTTGTAGCAATTATAGAGATGCCTGCAACTCTGTTATGCAACCTTAAACTTTGACCCTACCTTTTGATCATAACCATATTTTGATATTATTTATATTACGCTGACTACGAAAATAAGATTGATAAAACAGAAAGCGGACTGCTCTAAAGATTCGGGTGTCAGCCTAGATCTAGATATGAACCTTGAATTTTCAGGTGTCAGGTCGATCCTTGTCTTATTCTATAACGGCAATAATGCGGCCTTGTAAGCAGCTAGTTTCTCTCAAAATATAAACGATCAGACATTTTTCTCGTTGATATAGTTTTACTGTCAAGAGCTGGAGGAGATAGACAATACAATAGAACCTATCATGTTACAGATAAACAATCATATTAACACATTTATTAACCGTTTTAATTTTATGGCAATATTTGATGGATAAACACCTGCATTTTATTACAAAAAAAGCATGATAAACTTTTGTTTTGCGGGCTACAGAGCTTTCCAACAGTTGTCAATGCTTCTTTCCGAGGGTATAACGGTTAAAATAAGATCAATCGAAACATCTATCTATGTTTAAGAATATGCCAGTAGAAGCATCCCCAAAATCCAGTTACAAATATACTTGAGAAAAAAGGAACACTAACAAGCATAAGAACATACTAAAAAAATAAACTTCTTTGTAAAAATAACACATTCTTTTTTGTGTCGAATATTCTGCATAGTAAATTTTGGAATAATGATACATAAACAAATAATAAACCTCTGTTAGTCTTTAAATTTAGAATCTTCTCTTTATCTAGATGTTCGTAATTTAATTAAAGTGCATGTACTCCTTCCCATGTTTTCCAGAATGAAACTGCAAAATACTGTGTTTGACCTGATAAATTTTTATAGAGCTAGAAAGTTACATTTCTACCTATTTGCATGAGTTACAGCCAATATATTTTTCAGCAGTTTGACGCATAACTTATACTCCTTTTTCAATGATGGTTTACTTGTTACATTAATGACTTTGTATCTATATTCATATTGTATAATGCATAAAACAAAGTGAATCATGCCATATTGTATCGCAGTACTGTACTTTTCAGGACTCACTGAGAAATGTCTGGCTTCAAATGGAATATGCGGAACAAAAGATTTAACATGTAATGACTCATTTGGATCAAGATGGATAAATGAAGGTAGATGTTGTTATGAAAGACCATGTTGCAAAAGTAAGTATACACATAAATCATACGAATTTCCATCTTATTCAAATAGAGTTGTTTGTGGTGCGACCTTGTCTTTGACGAGTGTATGTGAAGTTAGCGACCAGTTCGTTATTCGTTATTCCATATTCAATAACGAACAGGCTGCTAGCAGTCGTTCGATATTTAAAACGATATTCTTACATGAAGTTGAAACAAAATAATATCTAAACATTCGATTAAATCAAAAGCATGACAGTCATAGTTAAAAGGAGTAAAAAAATAATGTAAGAAATCTTTTATGGATCCCTTTAAGTATCGTAAATTCTCGTTGTCCTCAGATATAAGCCCTCAGATATATATACCCTCAAATATAAAACCTCAAATATACCGGAGACCGCTGAAATGACGGTTGCACATTTAATAAATGTAGGATGAAAGGTCACAAATGTGATAGGAAATAATGTTCTATGTTTTATAAATATGTAATAGTGTTTCATTTCTTTTTTTCTCTTTTTTAAAGTTGTATGAAACTTTCATTAATAGACGAATGGCGTAAAATAAAACAAAAAACTTATTTTTATTTTAAGTTTTTAAGTGTTATAACTGTCCAGATAGTAGACGATAGACATGAAATGTAGGTAGTAAATTGAAGCCAGTTAATTAGTTAATAACCTTATAATGAATTCTGAAAAAAACTTGACTTTTATATGCACAACAGTTTGTTTATAATCTTGGAAAATGTATTCAGTTGTTCTAAATAAAAACATTGAATTACCACAGTCTTGTATTCTGACGTAATCAGTTCATTCAGAAAAATGTTAATGAATAATCTTTTTCGTTTTCTTATTGCAAATTTAAAGAAAAGGCAAATGATTAAAACCAAAACATTATAATTCATAATTCCACAGACTGTTCTGTTCGTCTGTTGGTCCATTGGTCTGTTGGTTCAATAAATATTTCCTTCCCACTTGTCTTGGGTGTTACTGTATAGAAGGACTTTAAACTGAAAAAACATCTTATTTTCGCGACTTTCCTAAGTAGAAAGATAATGTGATTATAAATCGTTGCTATTGAAAACTGGGATCTTTAAAATTCGTACAATTAAATCATATTGAAGTGGGCTAGAAACGGCTAAACGCGTAATAAAGTATTTACGGAAATAAAATGGTTAACTGTTATAAGTACAGGACAATGCTTGCAATCTTTGTAAAATTCGATATTTTTTCAACAGTTAATGGCTACAGCTGTGGATTTGAGACTGATGCACCATGTATCTTCCAGGATTCAACTAAGGATGAATTTGACTGGAAACGACTTGCGGTAAGTTCTTCAAAAATTTAGTGTGTTTTTCACAAAAATAATAATTCACATGATCATGTTGTCGACTTATCCCTTTTTATCGAATTTTCCTAAAAGAATTTTGTGGAGAAAAAAAAAACAAACACATGATGAAAGACCTTAAACATTAAAGAAGAAAGTAAACAAAATTGAAAGAGAGCTCAAATTCTTATTTATATTATCTTTTGTGTATATTCTAACTAATTTGATTCGTTTAGAAAGTGTCACATGTTCAACTATATTTTCAAAGGTAGACTGAAAACAACAGATAGAAAAGTGATATTGCACGGTTTCTTTCTGAATATTTGACACAATCAAAACAACCAATCAAACGAATTGGTGCTTCACTTCTGGAATATTGACAATAACTACCTCGAACTTCGTTCTCAGTCAACATACTTCTTTCAGGTCGATATATCCTCGTATCGACCTCATACAAGGGCTTTGATTGTATAATATACCCCTGGTTTTTTTTTCTTTTTATGGATATAATTGGATCAGTGCTTTGCTATGGTAAACCCCAAAAAAATATTTTGATAAAAAAATTAAAGCTTGTACAATGCAAGAAACAGATACCTCTCACCTCCTTTTATTAATTCTAACAATGTTATTGGACTACTGTAAATTCAGAAATAATTGTGTGCATTTAATATTGCGATTTTTTGGAAGAATGAACAAAAATGCTAGTTTAATTATTGCGATTTTCAGAAAAGCTACTTACAGATATATGTATAAGATACCAGAATGCAAGTTCTTATTATTGCGATACTCAAGTAATGAATGTTACTTATAAATAAAACTTTGCAACAATTTCTGAATTTACAATATTCCAAAAAATACAAGGAGAGTGTATTCTTTAGTGAAAAGTAAAATGTACAACACACATGATGTATAAGTTTTTCTGGCGCTGATGTTAAAAAAATGTGAAAGTCACACACTTTAATACAAAATAAGATTTATGAACTAATGTATTTTGTAGAATTCTACCTCAAGTCCGAAAACAGGACCAACAAATGCAGCCGAGGGAAATTACTACATATACATAGAGGTCACCGACAAAAATGATGGTGATAAAGCTATACTTACAACAGAAGCTGCTAGCTTACCAGGTAGGTTTCTTCTTTTGACTGTTTCTCTATTGAAAAATAAATTGTTATGTGGAAACCGAAATATTCAGAACCTTATCCCGGCCTCACTATTTATACATAAAAGTTGGAACTTATATAATCTAGAGCTTGAAATATAAATTACTTAATTATGATATATCCGTAACTTTTATAGTATATTTCAATAAACCTTTATTTTGGAAAAAAAGGAAGAACATTTATGCTCCAAATTATAATTGCATTCTTGACAATAGACATCTCAATGTTAAATATAATATATTGATAATCCCCTTTATTATTTCAGCTAGTAGTTGGTGTCTTACTTTCCAGTACCATATGAAGGGGAAAGACATGGGGAACTTAGAAGTATTTGCTGGGGACAAAACATCTAACTTGACAAGTATCTGGGAAAAAACAGGAGACCAACCCGATCCAGACCTGTGGAAAAGTGCTATTATAACCATACCACAATATACTAATTCTGTTGTAAGTATTCTGAAATGATAGATAACTGCGGCTTCAGACATACCAGATTTTAGTTGTCCTGTTGTAAGTATTCCGTAATGATAGAAACAGACATACAGATGGAATTGTGATCTTTAGCCATCACTTGGCGTCCGTCGTCGTCGTCCGTCGTCGTCGTCGTCGTCCGTCTGGTGTAAACTATTTCAAACATCTCCTCTGAAACTACTGAACCAATTCCAACCAAACTTAAGCTGAATGATTCTTAGGGTATCTAGAATAAAGTTTGTTTTTTAATTTCTGTTTCGTCAAAACACATGGCCGCAATCGCTAAAAATAGAACATAGGGGTAAACTGCAGTTTTTTGGCTCATATCTCAAAAACCAAAGCAGTTAGAGCAAATCTGACACGGGGTTAAAGTGTTCATTAGGTAAAGTTCTATCAGCCCTGAAATTTTTAGATGAATCTAATAACCCATTGTTGGGTTGCTGCCACTAAATTGGTAATTTTAAGGACAATTTTACACAATTTGTTTATCATGTTTTCTAACTTTGAAAAATCTTCTCCTCTGAAACCACTGAACCAATTCCAACCAAACTTAAGCTGAATGCACCATATGGTTTCTAGAATAAAGTTTGTGTTTTATTTTTTTGTTTCGTCAAAAACATGGCCACCATGGCTAAACATAGAACATAGGGGTAAAATGCAGTTTTTGGCTTATATCTAAAAAACCAAAGGAGTTAGACCAAATCTGACATGGAGTAAAAGTGTTTATATGGTAAAGTTCTTTCAGCCCTGAAATTTTTAGATGAATCTAATAACCCATTGTGGGGTTGCAGCCACTAAATTGGTAAATTTAAGGAAATTTTGCAGTTCTTGGTTATTATCTTGAATAGTATAAATGATAAAGATAAACTGTAAACAGCAAATATTTTCAGCAAAGTAAGATCTACAAATAAGTTTATATGACCAAAATTGTCAATTGACACCTTAAGGAGTATTGCCCTTTGAGGACTATTTTACACAATTTGTTTATCATGTTTTCTAACTTTAAAACATCTTCTCCTCTGAAACTACTGAACCAATTCCAACCAACCTTAAGCTGAATGATTCTTAGGATATCTAGAATAAAGATTGTGTTTTATTTTCTGTTTCGTCAAAAAACATGGCCGCCATGGCTAAAATAAAAATATAGGGGTAAGATGCAGTTTTTGGCTAATATATCTCAAACACTTAAGCAATTAGAGCAAATCTGATGAAAGGTTAAAATGTTCATTAGGCCAAGTTCTATCAGCCATGAATTTTTCAGACGAATCTAACGGTCCAGTGTGGGGTTGCTGCCACTTAATTGGTAATTTTAAGGAATTTTGCAGTTTTTGGTTATTATCTTGAATATTATTAATGATAAAGATAAACTGTGAACAGCATAAATGTTCAGCAAAGTTAGATCTACAAAAAAGTGACATGACCAAAATTGTCAAATGTGTCCTTAAGGATTTATTGCACCTTAAAGACAATTTTTCACAATTTGTTCATCTTGTTTGCTTCCTTTGAAAAATCTTCTCCTTTGAAACTGCTGTATCAATTTCAGCCAAACTTAGGCTGAATGAGTTTCAGAGTATCTAGTATAATTTTTGTATTTTATTTTCTTGTACGTCAAGAAACATAGCCACTATGGCTAAAATGAAACATATGGGTAAATTAAATTTCTTTGCTTTTGAAGAAAATATGACAGATACAAGGAACATCTCAATGGAATTTTTAAGCCACTCATTAAAATATATTAAAAAGCAAAAAAAATCATTGATGAAAGATTTAAGCAAAAAATTACAGGTGAGCGATTCAGGCTCTTGAGAGCCTCTTGTTTTAGAAGACTTCATAAGTCTGTTTGACTTGTGTCTCATTCAATTTGTGTTTATGCAAATAAAGTATGTTAAAACTAAACTTTGGTAACCCTGTTGTAAGTATTCTGTAATAATAGAAAACTGCTGCTACAGACATACCGAACTTTAGTAACCCTGTTGTAAGTATTCCATAATGATAGGAAACTGCTTCGACAGACATACCGAACTGTAGTGGTCCTGTTGGTAGTATTCTGTTATGATAGAAAACTGCTACTAGAGACATATCGAATTCTAGCTGTCCTGTTGTAGGCATTATGTACCAATAGAAAAATGCTTCTACAGACATACCGAACTGGAGTTGTCCTGTTGTAAGTATTCTGTAATGATAGAAAACTGCTGCTACAGACATACCGAACTTTAGTTGTCCTGAAGTAAGTATTGTTTAATGATAGAAAACTGCTGCTACAGACATACCGAACTTTAGTAGCCCTGTTGTAAGTATTCCATAATGATAGGAAACTGCTTCTATAAACATACCGAACTTTAGTTGTCCTGTTGTTAGTATTCTGTTATGATAGAAAACTGCTACTAGAGACATTTCGAATTTTAGCTGTCCAGTTGTAAGCATTATGTACCGATATAAAACTGTTTCTACAGACATACCAAACTTGAGTTGTCCTGTTGTAAGTATTCTGTAATGATAGAAAACTGCTGCTAGAGACATACCGAACTTAAGTAAGGTACTAGATAGGACCAATCAGGCCATTATCAACGCTCTCCATAGACAAGTACCTTTTATTCAATATATATATAGTTTAAAAAAGTTTTTTGGGGTATGTTTTCTATCATCCTTGGACGTAACACAGCTAACTCAGTTGTTCTGGTGTTCTTACTAAAATTTCTGTTTACATCTCAAATTTCCAACGCATTTACTCACCTCTCATAATATCTGTAATTAAGTAAGAAATAATGGCAAATACGCTAAAAATTCTGAAAATCTTGTATGCATTTACTATGGTAATTGTGGAATAATGGACAAAAATACGAGATTTAACTACTGAGATATCTGAAAATGGTTCAAACAAATAATGCTATCTAAATCTAAAATGCCAGGTTTTATTTTTGCAAAAGGTATCCCTTTACAATTGTTTTCAATAATAAAAACATTCCAAAAATGTCTGATTTTACAGTAGTTATTTCCTGAATTATACTTTGATTTTAATACTGTAAACAGGGAAATTTTCGCGGCAGTTTTATTTTCGCTATTTTCGCGGTAAGAGTTGAAACGCTAAATTAAATCGACCGCAAATATTTCAAGAAAATCAGAACACGAATATGAAGACCATACATGAACGTATGTCAATAGGAAATGCAGATCTATACCGCAAATTATAACTTTATTTCTAAAGGAAAGTCAGTGTTAGATATCAAAACCTTATCTCATGATAGTTCTAATTAATCCACGTGGACATTTCGGATATTGCTAAATAAACAACTATCGTTACAGTTATGTAAATGCCACCTGCCAATCAGTTTTCAAATGATTACCCATTATATCTGCTGCACAGATCAATCAGATTAAAATATCAACTAATAAGCAGTAATTCTGTCAGCATTTAATTCACTCTTAATTAGGTCATTCCTCTTTGATTATTGTGATTGTGTTTTTACAAGCAAACATGACTAATAGTTTTAAATGTGAACCGACAAAAAAGAATTTTTAATGGTTTTATCACTTGATTAAATACATTTTTTAACACTGTACAGTTTCCAAGTCATTTATGAAAAAAACTTATATAGGAGGGGATGGACAGGGGGTACCCTTCTCCCACCTCCCGCCTCCTATCTCTCACCTCCCACTTTTAGAATCTTTTTTTATCTCCCAACTATTCTCAAAGTTGTCGAAAGAATCTTCTTATATTTAATAGAAATAGTGTAGATGATAGCGAAAAGTGTTTTAAAACAGTTAAGATTTTATCAAGTACATAGAAATGTTCCGTTGGATAAACATCCCTGCCAAGCTCACAACCTAAAACTTGCAAGTAGGCATTACACATTTAAGTGTTGACTGCTCCTACATTACTCAATTGATTAAAAAAAAATATGTTGTAAAAATAACCATGGGAGATAATTATAATTGAACATTACAGTGAGGCAGGTGTATCTCTTTGTTATCACTTATCATCTATTTGTGATATGCAGTTTTTCATTTTATGCATGCCAAATATTATATTATTTGTATGTGCTTGGATCTTCCAATATATGGAGATAATATAGCAATGTTCAGATGTTGAAATTATTGACATAAAATAAGCATTGTAAACTGAAAACAATTGTACATTAATGCATTTGGAAGAATAAACTTTCACTGACAAATTGTCGGGCGACTGCTAGATCAAGGGAATAACAAAAATTAATTATAACATTTTGGGGTCACTGACAATGCTTTTCATATCAAAATGGAACCACATTTTAGCCTTATGTAGTTATGTATTCATATTATATTTGGGGGAACAGTTACTCCTCCATGAACAAAAACAATTTGGGTACAAAACTTAGAGAAAATTACTATTCATGAATACGATTCAAAATATTTAAAAAAAGAAAAAAAAGGGGGTCAACTTCATTTGAGCTTTTGATTTTGCCTTTTGATTATCACTTATGTCTAGAAATTGACTATGAGGGTCGGTTGAAAACAAACCTTTACGACAAAAGAGATGATTTCAGCTTCCCAATTGTGAATTTTCATTTTTAAATTAAGAGTTCCAAATGGTGAAGTTGAAATCATCACTTTGTAAATTTTACGGACGCCATCACGAGTTGGTTGACCGTTATGGAATATCCGTTTCACAGATGATATCGAATATGTTCGTTATGTCGTAACTATAATCCCGTTCCCTGTTCACGAATGTGACCTACCGAATTAGACTACTTACCCCTATTTGTGACATTTTTATCTATTGGTTTTGTTTGTTTTGTTCACACATCGTTGTCAATATAATGGAATTTGATGCGATTTGTCATACAAGTGAGAGGTTTAGCTAGCTTTAAAACCAGGTTCAATCCACCATTTTCTACATAAGAAAATGCCTATACCAAGTCAGGAATATGACAGTTTATTATCAATTCGTTTGATGTGTTTGTTTTTTTGATTTTGCCTTTTGATTGGGGACTTTCCTTTTTGAGTTTTCCTCGGAGTTCAGTATTTTTGTGATTTTACTTTTTTCATTCTGAAAAATGTGAATTTGTTCCTATTAAATTCAATATAATTATTTATCTCCCTTTATATTTGATATTTTTTTGAACTTTGAATACAGTAATAACACTGTAAGTTTTGTAGTTTTATTTTGTATTTTCAACCTCTAGATGATTCTTTTATATAATTCAACAATATATATTTGATAATATATTTTCATAGTAAAGTAATTTGGTTGCAACATACTAAAAATGATGCTAAGAACACCTCCAAATCACCTTCAAGCACAAAACTCCATTTTCCAACCACTTAACATGTATGTCATTTCTTTGTGGTCATTTTTTAATATTTTTTTATGTAGACCGAATAAAGATGTCTGGAAGAATTGAATTGTTGCACCAAGTTTTCATTCAATTTTCAGTCTAAAGCTCAAATTGGTTGCCATTGGAACATAATGTTTTTTTTTAAATGTCATTAGAAACCAAGATGTTTCAAAAGAGTTATTTGATGTTATTTAGTCTCACGTATAGTTTGAGAAAAAAATCATTTAAAATCATTCAGTTTTTGGCTTTCATTGAATTGTCAATGGTTGCTTCATTTTCTAAATTTTTCAGTTTTTGGAAAAAGGGGATGGAGAACAGTTGGTTGCTAATATTTTTTTTTACCATTCAAATGCAAAGCAAAATATTGTATGTGGTGATAATTTAGACTTATATAATTGTGAAACAACCATAACAAAAGATAGATAAATGTTATCTTTGAACAACAACCCTATGAACATGGGCATTTTTGAGAAAATAGGAATTTAGGAAATTTGTTATGTTTTTTGCCCTTGGCTTATTTCATTTTTTTCTTTATTGGCAGATATGGCTATGAAGAGGTCCTTGTATTATGAGTTACATTTGATTCCATTTTTATTAATACTATTTTTCTCAACGTAATAAATATTGCTTAAAAATATGCATATTTGTGTATTTGCTATTGGTTTTCAGCTGAAAATTGAAAAATTTAAGGTGGGGCCCCCTACCGCCAAGATATATAAAACATTAATAAATGTAGTAAGGTTAACCCACAAACAAGATTTCATGAAGTTTGGCCAATCTTGCTTCCGAACTGTTTTCTCATAGACAGGCTCTTAATAGAGGCCGTCAGGGATGAAGGTCAAACCAAACGTTGACTGCCACGGGAATATGAACGTATATTGGGTCGGGACAGAATTTCAGCCTTGCAACAGGCCACCTATGGACTCCCCAAAGAGTCGTTGCAAGGGTTCTGAACGTGCATGACACTCTCTTTACACGAGATTCGACGTCCCAATTCTGATTGGACGTGGATGCGAACTTGTACATCCCGCAAGGCCAAATGGACGCCCCACTTTTGCGAGGGTTTTATTGCCGGTTGGAGGAAGATCAATGGTGACCATATTTATATTCCCAAGTCACCCTTTGGGGTTATTGCAAAAGAACTCTTAATTATGATTAGTATTTTAAGATAAAAGTTAAAAATAAAGACAATTTTAAAATATTTTTTTAAGGCCATAAGTGTTCATGTAGTTGTGTATCAACAAACTCATCATACATACCAGGCTTTAAATTGTGTATGCATGACGCGCATTTCAACTACAAAAGCCTCATCAGTGACGTTTGAATCAATTGAAATACAAAGGCCAAGCAATTTTTGATTATGAAGTTGAAGAGCAAAATTCCGAAAGGTTTTATTAAATACCGCTACGTCTTTGCATTGCAAGACAATTTTCCAATATTTTTTTCCAGATAACCATTGAAGGGAGCAGAGGTACAACAGCTTTTGGTGACATTGCTATTGATGATCTCACTCTCAATGCTGGTACATGTAGTAAGTATTGCTTCATTCAGAGGTGACATTGCTATTGATGATCTCACTCGCAATGCTGGTACATGTAGTAAGTATGACGTCATTCAGAGGTGACATTGCTATTGACAATCTCACGCTCAATGCTGGTACATGTAGTAAGTATTACTTCATTCAGAGGTGACATTCAATTGATGATCTCACTCGCAATGCTGGTACATGTAGTAAGTATAACTTCTTTTAGAGGTGACATTGCTATTGATGGTCTCACTCTCAATGCTGGCACATGTAGTAAGTATTTCTTCTTTCTTTTCATCATCATCATGAATACATGTAATCACGAGATATTTGCCACTTAATTCAGACTTACAACAGTCAATCATAATTTTGATTACAATTTCATAAAGATAGGGAACTATGATTCAATTATGCAATTAGAAATGGGAATTTTCAGATTCATTTCAGGAAAGTATGGACGTATAATCTGTTTTTTCAATAAGAATATGTTGACATTCTAATAATAAAAAAAAAAACACACAAGCGTCATAATGATTTACATCACACATTACAGAGAGGAGTCGGGCAGTTGTGGTCCAAGAAAATCAAGTTTTTGAGAACTATTTCATGAACATAATGTTTGAAATGCATAATATGAAGAAAAAAATATTAACTACATCAGATTACTTATGTTATGAGTTTTATGACGTTGCATCGTTTTCATGAAAATGAAGAAAATTGCCAAATTTATACAGTTTTCGATGATATATCCATTATGGAAACATAAGGCACATCCAAAGAACAACTAAACAATTTAAAAAGAAGCTTTATGTTGACATAATCTCACCAAATATAAAGTTGTTTCTTGGGAGCGCACATACTTTTCTAATATTATACATATACTGAAAAGTTGATGTGAAACCAGGTGAAATCAAGAATTTTACAAATCATACAAATTTCCTCTTGGTTTGTTGCCATTTTAAATGTGAAATGTATTTGTAATATATGAACACTTTGTACCTAAGTGAAGTTGTGACACATTTCAGAATATGTATGGCAACTTTTCAATTCAAGCTAATATTTGGACAAAATCAATGCCTGATTGCCCCTACACCTTTGTCTTTCTTCTTAGAGACAATTGTGAAATACAGTCATGATAACAACGTATTTCAAATATCAACAATTCTTTATAAATAAATAGGGGGGAATTGTATGAAACTGTTGTTGTTTCTTTTTTTAGGTGCAATAAATTAAACGGAAAACAGAATAAACCTACAACCATGCCTTTATGGTGGTGTGATATTCACAGTTATAATGATCATGTGATATCTAGTATCTTATAAATTATAATGATCATGTGATATTAACAGTTAGCTTATTCATTATAATGATCATGTGAGATTCAGTTCCTTGCACATTATCTGTGCTAGCAGTTTTTTTTTAAATATAATAAAAATTTGTTGACACACACAATTGGTTTTTATTGATATATCCTTTTTGTCTCGTTTTGAATAGGCTAGACTGAGGCGTGCTGTGTCCGACAGCGGCATCAGAGGCGTCAACAATGAATTAGATTGTAATTAAGTCAAGTTTATTGGGAACCACTAGGAATAGGTCCCTGATATTTGGTATGCAGTTGTATTAGCTATGGCACATCTCATTTCCACGGAAATCATTTTGCCCTACCTCCTCAGTCATGATCTATTAACTGAAACTTTTGCTTATGTTTTATTTATTAGTTTGTGATTAGGTCAGTTTAAGGGGAACTTTGAGTGATAGGTCAATGATGTTTGATATCCAGATGTTTTAGCATTGGTACATCTCATTTTCATGGAGATTGTGTGGCTCCCCCATTCAGTCATGGTTCATTGACTTTGAATGTTTTGCATTATTTCAGATTGATCAGTTTAATATGAACGACTATGTTAAGTCAATGATATTGGGTATGCAGTTGTATTGGCATTTGCAAACCTCATTTCCATGGGGATGGCATGGCCGCACCCCCTAATCATGGTTGATGGTTCATTGACTTTTAAATTTTTACATATAAAGATAGGAAGATGTGGTATGATTGGCAATATGACAACTCTCCACCAGAGACCAAATATCATAGAAGTTAACAACTATAGGTCATCATACGGCCTTCAAAAATGAGCGAAACCAATACCGCTGAAAGAAAAATGGAAAACGATAAATAAAATTGAGAATGGAAATGGGGAATGTGTCAAAGAGACAACAACCCGACCACAGAACAGACAACAGCAGAAGGCCACCAACAGGTCTTCAATGCAGCGAGAAATTCCCGCACCCGGAGGCGTCCTTCAGCTGGCCCCTAAACAAATATATATACTAGTTCAGTGATAATGAACGCCATACTAAACTCCAAATTGTACACAAGAAACTAAAATTAAAAATAATACAAGACTAACAAAGGCTAGAGGCTCCTGACTTGGGACAGGCGCAAAAATGCGGCGGGGTTAAACATGTTTATGAGATCTCAACCCTCCCCCTATACCTCTAGCCAATGTAGAAAAGTAAACGCATAACAATACGCACATTAAAATTCAGTTCAAGAGAAGTCCGAGTCTGATGTCAGAAGATGTAACCAAAGAAAATAAACAAAATGACAATTATACATAAATAACAACAGACTACTAGCAGTTAACTGACATGCCAGCTCCAGACTTCAATTAAACTGATTGAAAGATTATGTCTTCATCATATGAATATCAGGCACAATCCTTCCCGTTAGGGGTTTAGTATCATACCATCATAACATATATGAGAAGAACATAACCCGTGTCATGCCAACAACTGGTTTTTAAATAAATGTGTTTAGTGCCGATGCAAAGACCCTATAAGTGAATCAATATTAACGCCAAAATATGCAATCTTTAATGACCTGACAACAGTATCGTAACTATATCCCTTCTTAATAAGTCTATTTAAAGGTTTTGTTAGTTTCAGAGGTGAATACTGACATTTTTGTGCTTTATAAAGAATATTTCCATAAAAAATTGGATGTGAAATACCTGAACGTATAAGAAGTCTGCATGTTGAGCTATATTTACGAATGATGTCCTTATACCGATGATAAAATTTAGTAAATGTTTTGACTAGTTTGTGATATCGAAAACCCTGGTGTAATAATTTTTCAGTAATACATAAACTTCTCTCGTTAAAATCTAAAACATTGTTACATACACGAGCGAATCGTACAAGTTGAGATATATAAACACCGTAAGATGGTGACAGGGGAACGTCACCATCTAAAAATGGATAATTAACGATAGGAAATGAAAAATCATCTCTTTTATCATATATTTTAGTATTAAGCTTTCCGTTAATGATATAGATATCAAGATCGAGGAAAGGGCAGTGGTCATTGTTAGTATTAGCTTTATTTAAAGTAAGTTCAACAGGATAAATTTCTTTAGTATACATACTGAAGTCGTCATTATTGAGAGCCAAAATATCATCCAAATATCTAAAAGTATTATTAAATTTGTGTATCAGATGTTGTTTCGATGGGTCTTTACTGATTTTTGTCATAAATTGTAACTCATAGCAATACAAAAAAAGGTCCGCAATAAGTGGTGCACAGTTAGTCCCCATTGGAATTCCGATAACCTGACGATATACGGAATCTCCAAAGCGAACAAAAATGTTATCTAGTAAAAATTCAAGGGCATATATAGTATCAAAGCATGTCCAATTGACATAGTTTTTTTGTTTATTGCTACTAAAAAATGACCTAAAAGAGTTTGAACATATATATTCACATTCTAACTTTTTAAATGCCCATTTAATTAGGTGTGTGAATTTTTTCTTAATGAGAATGTGAGGCAATGTGGTATATAGGGTAGAAAAATCAAAACTTTGAACAGATTCAAAATCACCAATATATGCATGCAATTTATCAAGTACTTCCAACGAGTTCTTGACACTCCAAAAGTAATTAATTCCACTATTTTCGAAGGCCTTATTTGAACAATTTATTATGAGGTTTTTGATTGTACCAAGTGTACTGGTAAGAAGAATAGACAATTTAGTAGTGGAACAATGGCTTGAAGACGAAATGAATCTTTATTTGTAAGGTGTTTTGTGTAGCTTCGGAAGCCAATACATAGTTGGGACTTTCATTGTATTTGGTTCTGCTTGTAAAGCGGTAGCTAAAAGTTTATGTTTGTTACAGATGTCGTTTTCTGAAAATGGAGTCAGTTGGAATGTTGGTGAATTGGTGATTTCTTTTTTCAGAACCTCAATGTAAAATTTACGTCAAACAATAATAATATTATTAGCAGCTTTATCGGCCCGGACAAAAACAAATTCCTTGGCTAGTTCTTTTAGTTTATGTTTGATACGAGAAATAGGTTTATTGTGGTTATTGTTAAGAGTAAAATGTTCTTTAAAATGTTGAATACGTATATCAACTATGTTCATTACTGATTTAAAAAAAGAGTCCAAAGATTTCTTGTCAGCTTTTTCCCGTTTTATCCATTTCAAACAGTAAGTATGGAGTGAGTCGTGGATGATATTACGACACTCATTCCAATTAATAATTGACGGGGGACGATATTTAGGTCCTTTACTGAGGAATGATTTTAACTCTCGGTCTTGAACGATGTTAAGATCTCCTGTTATAACACGGGAAATGGGTCCATAAATGTATTCGGAATTACTGCAATTACATGAAGTAGGTGTATTTTCACTGATATTAACATCTTTACACAATTGGCTATAATTAAACACAAATTTCCGGGTAGATTTCTTGTAAATATAACAAATAAGAGGGAGCTCAGTATTATCAAAATATCCCGGAATTTGTTCTTTAACAGAATGGTCGTTAAAAATACCGGCAATATTTACAAAATCAAAACCTTTATTGACATACTTTATTTTAATAAACTGTTTTTTATGATCTTCAGGGCGATCAATTTTGGGAAACAGTTTAGAATAACAATATGCCATTATAATTTGAACGATTTCATACTTAGGACTGCTATATGAAATTGTGTTGCAATCCTCTAAAATTTTATTTAACTTATTAACCGGTAATGAACAGAGCTTTGTTAACAGATAATGTCTGCCGTTGTTTTTTGAAATAGAAATTAGGTCAGAAATATTGGTATGATTGGTCCGAAATTTTCTTTGATTGCGATTTTTTCTACGACCATGAGAACGGTTTTTACGAACAGTTTTAGAAACTATATCCAAAATGTTAACAGAATCGGTTCTTGATATATTACCAATTCCCATGATATTATCATTAAGACCGAGAGGGTAGACTGTCTGTAATTTTTTAATCCAATTTAATTCAATTATTTTCCGCGATCGTACAAACTTTGAATGAGATTCACCAGGCTGCTTATTTACTACTTCTAAAGGTTGAACTGCTATATATTTAATAGGATGATTGTGCTTCTTAAGGTGTTGATAAATGATACTTTTGAATTTATTGGGTCTTTTAAAACGATACAGATGTTCTTGAGTGCGTTTAGATAAATATCGTCCAGTTTCACCTACGTACTGAATACCGCATCCCAGTTTGTTTCATGTGAGTAAATAAATTATACTGTTTGTTTTTCAAGTTATATCAGTTTCAAAATTTAAAGAAAATGTGCGACCATTAAACGTGGACCTTACCGTATTGTTGGTGGAAAGACGGGGACATGTAAGCCTGAATGATGTACAAAGCAATGAACGAAAAAGATATTTGATATACAGTAACAGAAGACAACCACTGAATAACAGGCTCCTGACTTTGGACAGGCACATACAGAATGTTTCGGGGTTAAACTACCTTGCTTGTGCCAAACCCTCCCTTAACCTGGGACAGTGGTGTAACAGTACAACATAAGAACAAACTAGAATGAAAATCAGTTGAAAAGGTCTTTACTCATCAGATTGGTAGAAAGCAGAAAAAAACATTTAACAAAATCACAGGCGTGATATAGTTTACGAGTTGTTAGTGGTATTTGTTATTCAGTTTTATAAGCATTGACATTTCACATTTCCATGGAGGTTATTTGGCCCTGCACCTTAAGTCTCGATTCATTGACTTTGAATGATTTTCATAGTTTACATGTCTAAATATTGCCATTTTAGTTTCAGCATTTGCATTATACCATCAAAATTGAAAATTGTGGGGACTATTATACTTAAATATTGTGTCCAAGCAAAGCTCGAGAAATATCTCGTTTCATCAGTTTATTATTTGTTCACCTGTCCCAAAGGGCCAGTTTGAGCTTTGCCATAACTTGGCGTCTGTTGTCTTTTATAGTATATCGTCCTCCGTTAACTTTTACAAAGATCATCTCCTCTGCAACTACTATGCTAAATATAACCAAACTTAGCCACAATTATCATTAGGGTATATAGTTTAAAAAGATTGTCCGATG